TTCTAAATTACCCAATCCTGACACAGGGAGGTAGTGACAATAAATAACAATGCTCTGGCTCTTCGAGTCGGGCAATTGGAATGAGAACAATTTAAATCCCTTAACGAGGATCAATTGGAGGGCAAGTCTGGTGCCAGCAGCCGCGGTAATTCCAGCTCCAATAGCGTATATTAAAGTTGTTGCAGTTAAAAAGCTCGTAGTTGGATTTCTGTTTTGGATGTCCGGTCCGCTCCCTCTGGGAGTGTGTACTTATGGATATTCGAGGCATTTTTTGTGAGGCTGCCTTTCTGCCATTAAGTTGGTGGGTTGGTGGGCTTGCATCGTTTACTGTGAAAAAATTAGAGTGTTTAAAGCAGGCGTTTGCTCATTTGAATACATTAGCATGGAATAATAAGATACGGCCTTGGTGGTCTATTTTGTTGGTTTGCACACCAGGGTAATGATTAATAGGGACAGTTGGGGGTATTCATATTTCAGCGTCAGAGGTGAAATTCTTGGATCGCTGAAAGATGAGCTTAGGCGAAAGCATTTACCAAGGATGTTTTCATTAATCAAGAACGAAAGTTAGGGGATCGAAGATGATTAGATACCATCGTAGTCTTAACCATAAACTATGCCGACTCGGGATTGGCAGTCGTTTACTTTAAATGACCTTGTCAGCACCGTATGAGAAATCAAAGTCTTTGGGTTCCGGGGGGAGTATGGTCGCAAGGCTGAAACTTAAAGGAATTGACGGAAGGGCACCACCAGGAGTGGAGCCTGCGGCTTAATTTGACTCAACACGGAAAACTTACCCAGGTCCAGAACATGAGTAAAGAATTGACAGAATTGAGAGGCTCTTTCTTGAATTTTATGGGTTGGTGGTGACATGGCCGTTTCTTAGTGGTGGGAGTGATTTTTTCGGGTAATTTCCGTTAAAAGAACGAGAACCTCCCGCGCGCCTAAATAAATAGTTCCGCTTACCATTTTTGGTAGGTTTGTGGACTTCTTAGAGGGACTTTTGGGTAATCAAACCAAAGGAAGTTGGAGGCAATAACAGGTCTGTGATGCCCTTAGATGTTCTGGGCCGCACGCGCGCTACACTGATGCGTTCAACGAGTATACAACCTTGATCGATAGGTCTGGGTAATCTTGTGAATGCGCATCGTGCTAGGGATAGACTGTTGCAATTTTCAGTCTTGAACGAGGAATTCCTAGTAAACCCAAGTCATCAGCTTGCATTGATTACGTCCCTGCCCTTTGTACACACCGCCCGTCGCACCTACCGATTGAATGACTCGGTGAAAAATTGGGACCGTGAGTCTGTTTGCTTTATTGCGAGTGGATTGATGGGAACTTTTTTAAACCTCGCCATTTAGAGGAAGGTGAAGTCGTAACAAGGTTTCCGTAGGTGAACCTGCGGAAGGATCATTACCACACCTAAAAACTTTCCACGTGAACCGTTTCAACCCAATAGTTGGGGGTCTTACTTGGCGGCGGCTGCTGGCTTTATTGCTGGCGGCTACTGCTGGGCGAGCCCTATCAAAAGGCGAGCGTTTGGACTTCGGTCTGAGCTAGTAGCTTTTTTATTTTAAACCCTTTACTTAATACTGATTATACTGTGGGGACGAAAGTCTCTGCTTTTAACTAGATAGCAACTTTCAGCAGTGGATGTCTAGGCTCGCACATCGATGAAGAACGCTGCGAACTGCGATACGTAATGCGAATTGCAGGATTCAGTGAGTCATCGAAATTTTGAACGCATATTGCACTTCCGGGTTAGTCCTGGAAGTATGCCTGTATCAGTGTCCGTACAACAAACTTGGCTTTCTTCCTTCCGTGTAGTCGGTGGAGGAGATGCCAGATGTGAAGTGTCTTGCGGTTGGTTTTCGGACCGACTGCGAGTCCTTTTAAATGTACTAAACTGTACTTCTCTTTGCTCCAAAAGTGGTGGCATTGCTGGTTGTGGACGCTGCTATTGTAGCGAGTTGGCGACCGGTTTGTCTGCTGCGGCGTTAATGGAGAAATGCTCGATTCGTGGTATGGTTGGCTTCGGCTGAACAATGCGCTTATTGGGTGATTTTCCTGCTGTGGCGTGATGGACTGGTGAACCATGGCTCTTTAGCTTGGCATTTGAATCGGCTTTGCTGTTGCGAAGTAGAGTGGCGGCTTCGGCTGCCGAGGGTCGATCCATTTGGGAAATGTTGTGTACTTCGGTATGCATCTCAATTGGACCTGATATCAGGCAAGATTACCCGCTGAACTTAAGCATATTAATAAGCGGAGGAAAAGAAACTAACAAGGATTCCCCTAGTAACGGCGAGTGAAGCGGGAAGAGCTCAAGCTTAAAATCTCCGTGCAAGTTTTGCGCGGCGAATTGTAGTCTATAGAGGCGTGATCAGTGTGGGCGCTTGGGGCAAGTTCCTTGGAAGAGGACAGCATGGAGGGTGATACTCCCGTTCATCCCTGAGTTGCTCGTGCGTACGATCCGTTTTCTTTGAGTCGCGTTGTTTGGGAATGCAGCGCAAAGTAGGTGGTAAATTCCATCTAAAGCTAAATATTGGTGCGAGACCGATAGCGAACAAGTACCGTGAGGGAAAGATGAAAAGAACTTTGAAAAGAGAGTTAAAGAGTACCTGAAACTGCTGAAAGGGAACCGAATCGTTTCCAGTGTCTATAATCCGTGGTATATTTCATTGGCGAGTGTGTGCGTGCGTGTGCTGTGGCAGCGGCTTTTTTGGCTGCGCTCGGCGTGTGTGCTGTGTGTGCTTGCTGGTGCCCTGTGCTG